GCGGAGTAAGGCGGCTGACAGGGCAGACGTGTTTGTGTGGTATGTTTAAAATGGTTGACAGTTTTTTATAGTGTCATTTGTGTGTAAATATCATTGTTTATAGCGTCGATAAACCCACGCTCGAGGCTGCTGGCAGACAGCTCGGCCTTTTTACTCTTCTGTGCCTCAGTTCTGTTTCCCAGTCCTGCAGTCCATCTGCCCTGGACGTTTAGCTAGTTAGCGTGTTTACCGCTGTTTCCTACACTAGACTTGTTTTATCAGCCCTTCGTGAAGCTATAATGGGAGCAGGAGGACTACAAAATGTGCAGCGTAGCGGTGACATAAAGAATAACGTGTGACTCATGCTGCTCAGTCTTTCTCGTCTCTCCTGCTCCTGAACTCGGGGGTGGATTTTGTGTCTGGAGCTGCGTCCAAAACCACATACTACTGTACTACACATACAACACTAATGAAGGCACTCCTATTGGTGGTGTACTGTTTTTGACATACTATTTAGTGTGTTAGTATGCGGTTTTGGACGCAGCCTGGGGCTCTGGGCAAAAGACAGGATTAAGGCCCCCTGGGTGCACATTATTAGCTAAATTAGTTGAGTCTCTGGGCTTATCTTAACAAATGAAATCATCTTAAGTGTAGTCGATATGCCCAGTATTTTCCATTTTGAGATTGTTGTATGAATGTTAAAAGATGAATTAACGTAATTGTAGACATTTTTGCTTAAGTAATTAAGTGAAATTATCTCATTATACTGGCAGATACTTTGCCTTATTGTAAGAAATATGCTTGAAGCAAAATTATCGGCCAATCTAGTTTAGGTTGGTACAGATATTGGAGAATGAGGCCTATTAACGCTAATATTATTACTATAATATTATTGCTCTGACTGAAAAAAACAAGTTAGATTTGAGAGTATAGTGACAACTCTTTGATCATCTCCCACTTTTTGTGTTTCTCTGGTGCTCTTGGTTAACTTTATTAGATTTTCCTTCTCAACACCCAGAATATCACACTAAAGAACCCTCTCTCCAAAATCTAGATTGTCACTTATTTGGCTTGCTTATACCAGTTTGTCTTTACGCAGTTGTGCCATCGTGTAACAACATGGAATAGTCCATTATAACCATGACCGGGGCATTGAAATTACTGAAAATAACTGCTACATTTGCAAATAACAGCTACATAATATATGTACCTTGTATTTTAATGCGGCCGTAGGTGGCTGGATTAGGTTTTTCCAGTCCTGCTCCTGTGGTCCTTTTGCACTGGACAACTGAACATCAGGGGACAGAACTGGTGACCACATTGTCTTAGACTAGTACCATTTACACAAAGTACCTGTACAAAATTATTCACTTTCTATAGCTATGATATGGAAATTCATATCACAGTTATGCTTCTAATAGCCATATGTGTTTAAGACTTATGCCTGATAACTGCCTTTCAAAATAAGGATATTGTAAATTCACTGGTCAGTTAGCTGTAATCTTATGTGAGTAACTCACCCTGGCTAAGTGGTCTCTGGTTAATGTTGTTTTCTCTCTGTGTAGTTTAATATTATAGAGCCGGACAATGCCGAAGAAGAAGACCGGTGCCCGCAAGAAGGCTGAAAATCGGAAGGAGCGAGAAAAACAAAACCGCGCCAATAGAGAGAATGTTGATGTGGCAAAACATCCCTGCAATTCAGCCATGGTGAGAGTGTTGGAAATCTTTTAATGTGCTAAAATGCATAATTATCATATTATTTTTCATAGTTTTAGTTTTCAGTCCTAAACTTTTTAAAGCAGATGTCTTCAAATTTGGATCCTGAATCTAGTTTCCAGTTCTGGACTTTACAGTCTCTATCTGGTATAATACAAAGTACCCAATCGGCTACATCAACAGGGCAGATAACTGCCAGTGATTACGAAATCCAAGGCCTGAAACTGGATCAAATGTCTAGATATGTAACCATTGCTAAATCTGTCTCTAGACAACTTCTAGAGTGAGATTTTCTGGTTTAAAGTCAATGAAAATCATTTTCTGATTATGTATCTTGAAAGTAGGAGGATTTTTTAAAAAGGTTCAACTGCTTTGAAGTGGAATTAAAGTGGGAGCAGACTGGTTTATTTTTTTTGTTAGCTGGTGAATGAAGGAAGCCAGAGAGCTAATGTTATTGCGAAGAAGCTGAATGTGTTAGTGCAACCATGTAACTATGATAACTGTCTTCAAAACACCATTTCAATGAGGAAAATGGATTACTGACCTGGAAGAAATTATTTGTCAGATGAGGAGGACAGTAAACTAAAAGACACTAGCTATCAAGATATTTCATCTCAGTTTAAGTTCTTTTCTCTGGCTGAAAGGGTTAAAATTAGTCTGAATGAATATAGAATCTGTGTGTTTTTTTTTTTGTACAATTTTGTTCGACAGTTGTTGTGGTAAGAGTTTGGCTGTATTTATTAGCCTGTAGATCAGTGGCTCAGCTAGCAGTCAAGATTGAATGACACAAAAGGGATTTACAAAGAATTTTATGATGTATTTGTGTAATGCATGCTGGGTGTTGTAGCGAGAGAACATTGAACAAAAAACATATTCTACATAACATCAACATCTGCGTGAGTTCTGTCAAACTGATGAGGTTTAACACTGTGTTGCTGAATACTGCATTACATGACAAATAACATATTAAACAGCAGTTTTAGGCTGGAGTGCCCCTTAAAAACTGTTACACCTGTTGGTTAGTTCATATATTGTTCTAACATACATTTTGTTGATGTTTTCAGGACTGTGACAAGTGTCTAAGGTGAGCCTCCTCATTTGTTTTCCATCAAGTTACACTTTGTGGAAGTTTTATTTTTGTGCCTTTTGTCACAGCTTTGCAACCAGCTTGAAAAGTAAGGTTGCTGTGACTGGAGACCCTGTGTGGGATATTTTCATGTTGATGTTTGTTGTTTCTTTTGCATGTTCTGTATTAGACGACAGAAAAACAGGGCATTCTGCTACTTCTGTGCTTCGGTCCAGAAGCTTCCTATGTGTGCCCAATGTGGTAAGTTGTAAATCATTTAAATCCATCCTGTCTTTGATAATAGATATACAATATGTTTCATCTTTCAGCTATTTATCTCTGATAATAACACAGACTCAGACTAAGAAAATGGCACCAAAATTGCAAATTGGATCAACAAAAGCCTGCACTGCCCAAAGATAAATGACTAGTAATGTTTCTCAGTAGATGACCATGTTCTTTATCTGTCAACTTTGTTCATAGCCCATAAAATGTCCAAATGTGAATCTTGCGTTGCACTTTTGCAGCTTTATAGCAGCAATCATGTTGTAATGGGTTTTGCTTACTGTTTTCAAAGGTAAAACAAAGTGCATGAAGTCCTCTGACTGCGTCATAAAACACCCTGGAGTTCACAGCACTGGAATGGGTATGGTGGTAAGCAAAAGATTCTCATTGTACAGAGACAAATCATTGGTCGGGCCAGGATAGTTGGTCCAGAATATGTTCTCAAAATTCTCCAATGCAGGCATGTCAGACTGGGGACCTTCTGGGCCAAAGTGGTGTGGATATTAGCATTTACCCTCATCTAATGCTCTGAATTCAGTTTAAGAAGGCCTTGCTAGTTAGCTGATGCGCTGAATCTGGTGTGTTTAATGAGGCAGTGTGCTGAAGTCTGCAGTGTTTTGGCCCGCAAGGACTGGAGCCTGACACACGTGCTCTAACATGAGTGGGGATGGCAGTCCTCTGCTGTTTGGCAATGAGTTAAAAAAAAGTTTGTTTAGAAGAAATCATTACTTATAACTGCTGTTACAGTGAAGTACTGATGATCACAAACTATAGCTATTTGTCCTACGTATAGGGATGGTCTTCATTAGGCATTCATAGTCAGCTGCCTAGGGCCCCTATGAACCAAGGGCTTCATGAAAATGCAAATTAAATATGTGCTGATCTTAGGTAACCTGTTCTGAAATGCACAAGTATTAAAATGCATGTATCATTCATTTGCTGTTGTAATTATTTTCAGCCCCACCCCCAAGTCATGGTTGAATGGCCTATTCCATGTCATTACATGATCTTCCCACCTCGCTTATTTACTGTTGCCATGTGGGTCAAATTTTCAGCTCAGGCTTCCTGGCAGTAGAACTTCTGCAAACAGATTAAAAGGTTCAGTTGCACAAAGGAATTACAAAGCATAAACAAAAGCATATAAAGATGTTCACTGCAGACATGCTTGAGAACTAGGAATGGGAATGTAGGCCAGTTTAATTTGTTTACATTAATCAAACCAGGACAAGTCAGTTTGACCCAGTGATGCAAGAACATTTAAGGACGATTCAGGCAGAAGAAATAAGTGACGCCTCCCTCAGCAATTACATTCATCACTCCTTCACAACAGTAGTGTGGCGAAATGAGCGAGGGAACAAATAGAAAATTGAGAGATATCCAAGACTTGTGGGTAAATGAGAGGGGTGGGCGCATTCCTGTTTATTTGCCTAGGGCCCACTTAACACCCCCTTGCCTACATAGAGTTGCACTACAAAGGAATGTTACTTTAATAGCCCTTAATAGCATTTGACAGGGAGATCCTTTTTTGGGTTGTTGCCTGCTGTTGCAACAAGCTGTTGTGTAACCTGAACATACCTTTTTATTGTCCAAAAAAATGTGGAATAAAAGTAAATGAGCAGGTAAAAAGAGCAGCTTGTCAGTATGTAAACGTTTGCTACTCTGCCTAGCTTCAGATCACTTTTCTGATATAAAACACAGTAAACGTTTCATGCTAGTTACATGTTGTGAGTTGTCTGCAGCAATTTCTGTGCAACTTGACAGTTACATGAAGTAATGCATAGCACAATATATTCAATTATTCTAATAGGTAGCCAAGTTAGCAGCCTATAGTTTTCATACGTTGTGTTGTTCTTGCTACACCCACAAGGTTTAATTCATATACTTGCATATTTTTTAATCATCTTTTTATAGTTTTTTCTAGCTATCATTGGCATTTTTTTTCTGTATCTATATATCTGTCTTTGTATATGTTAAACATGAATTTTCAAATGTTTAAGTAGCCTTTACAGTTATAGCCTACTTAATGTCTCACTCATCCTGTGGTAGAAGCACAGCAAGTTTATCATCTGTTTTCTCTTCTGTAGTAACTTTTTCCCTTTGCAATCCAAATGACTCTGAGCTCTCTGTAAATTTATGGGCATCAATTCAGGAAAAAATGAATCTTGCTACGTCAAAGACAAAACCAGCAGGCTAACAAAGAAGAATAAAACAGTGGAACGCACAGCTGTTGGCTCTAATACAGCTGGGAACAAACGCTGGCTTCGAGAAACTCACATTTGTTGTCTTTTAAACCACCCAATAAACTTCGGTTTAATAATCTTGTTTTTTGATCCGATTAAATGAGTCAATAGAAAGTATATCATTCTACATGTGACATCTTTTTGATTGGCTGTTGAAACTTGTTCAAGTTGAGACACTTAATGGTTGAGTTTCAAGTGGGTTGCAGAACACTTTACACTGTGCAACTCAAGTGCAGTTAGTTTTAATGTAGATTTAAAGCCACCAAAGTTGCAAGAAAGTTTCACAGGGTAAAGCCAGCCTTAACTAGCCAAGTTAAATCTCGGAGGTTCATGAGTTTACATAGCCATTAAGATATTCATAATTATCTTTTTTCTCACTAGGGGGCGATATGTGACTTCTGTGAAGCCTGGGTGTGCCATGGGAGGAAGTGTCTGAGTACACATGCCTGCTCCTGTCCACTTTCCGACTCTGACTGCATTGAGTGTGACCGCAGCGTGTGGGAGCATGGTAAAAAAAAATATATATATATATATATATATATATATACATATATATATATATATATATATATATATATATATATATATATACATTATATATATATATATATATATATATATATATATGTCTACAGTTTCCTGTAACGACTGTGCAGACCTCAAAAGTTTATGCTAAATTAAAATGCATTGCTTCTGTAGTCATATGGCAAATTTTAAGGCAGTAATTATTTCTACAGACCAATTTGTCATTGAGGAAATGTTATCTAATGTTCCTTGATGCAGGAGGTCGCATTTTCCGCTGCTCTTTCTGCCACAACTTCCTGTGTGAGGACGATCAGTTTGAACATCAGGCCAGCTGTCAGGTCCTAGAGGCCGAGACTTTTAAATGTGAGTCTGTGGGTATTAGTATAAATTTGCATCATTTTCGCCATTTGCTGCCTTCCGTATATTTAGAGTCGTTCTCTCAAAATGTGTCCCAATTTTAGGTGTGTCGTGTAATCGACTTGGGCAGCACTCTTGTCTTCGATGCAAGGTGAGGCCTTCGTTTGTCCTCCTATACGTATTTTGTGTTAAACACCGCTGAGCTGCAGAAGAGGCTGTGCAGTGCTGAAAGCTCTATTACAACAGTGTATGTTTGTCTCTGTAGGCCTGCTTCTGTGATGATCATGCTCGAAGCAAAGTCTTTAAGCAAGAGAAAGGCAAGGCACCTCCATGCCCAAAGTGTGGACACCAGACGCAGGAGACCAAAGACCTCAGCATGTCCAGTGAGTCTCTAATACTCCAGTGTAATACAGAAATTAAGTTAAAATAACATTTAATGCTCTTCTTGTTTGGTTTCTTGCAGCTCGCACTCACAAGTTCGGCCGGCAGAGTGGGGCTGACGACGATGACGGTTACGATTATGGCGCGTCAGGCTACGATTCCTACTGGAAGAGTGTTGCGTCCGGAGGAGGCCAGGAGGAAGAGGACAATGGAGATGATGATGACTATGAGGATGAAGATGAGGAAGATGAGGAGGAGGATGAAGAGGATGAAGATGAGGAAGATGAAGCTGATGTGGAAGATAAACTCACCAGTCTGAATCTTGGTGCAAGTTCAGCTAGTGGCAAAATCCACTGAAATAGTGTTGATTGAAGACGTGCTGCAACTCTCATATAAAAGCAGTTTTATTTTAAAACCATGTAAACTTCAATAATTGGCTTAGATTTATAATTTTTGTCAAAACATTTTGCCTCACCATAAATGAAAAGTCTTCAAAACAGGGCTGTTTGTCTTTCTTTGGCAATTTCCAATACAGTACTTCAATCATATTTGATCCCAGAAGCGAAAACAGATCATTTCCATCTGTCTGGTGGTTTGGACCGGTGATATTTGTTTGCATTCTGCAATTTACCATTGATACATGAATTATGAAATGTAAAACCCTTAATTTATAATAATAGATAATGCAATTATAGTGTAATGGCACTGCCAGTGCTTTCTATATCAGGCTTTGACCTCAGAGATGCATACATAAAGTGACTCATCTGACCACATCTCTTTAGACTGCTGCTTCTCCAAAGTGCATTTGTCTTGAGGTTGTTTGCGCACTGCAACCCTGCTATAGTATCCCTCCTAATGTAGTTGTCGGTGAGCCATACTTGCTAATATCTTCCTGTGTTCTCGGAAATCTGAGGAACAGACATTCTTCTGTTTCTCATTACACTTGGCATCGATGCATGAGCATCGTGGTCGTTGAATGTGTGCTTTTGACCACTTTACTGCCCTGTGTGCTGATATCTTTCAAATAGATCTATATGCAGATGTCACTGTTTCTCTTGATCAGTGCAGTCTTTGCGAGTTAAGCTCCTGCCATCAGTCCCAGAATAATGATAATGGTTAATTGAGTTAACATGAGGTGGATTTAAAATATATAAAAGGAAAAAAAATGTAATCAAAAGTAGTGGGTGGTGTTTTTCTGCCTGTTAATACTTTTTTTTTACAGTTGAATTAAAACGCAGTGGACGGTGTAACCGATGATGTCGATATTGCTAATCGTATCGTCTTACCTCCCACTGTGTTGCGCTGCTACGCAGTTTGCGCAAGTCCCGTGCGAAGCTGCTCTTTGGGAAATCTCCAGTGTAAATGTTGGAGAGCGCTGTAAAGTGAAAGCTCCCCTGCTCGACTTGCCCAGGGCAGGGAGGCACCGCTCACTGGTTACCCAAGAAGAATGACTTCGCAGCAGAGATGCCTTCATTCAAAAGTCAGACCTCATGGATTCCTTGAGAAGGTGTGATCCTCTGCACGTGGAAGCTGTGCGAGACGCAGACGTACTCTATTACATTACTTAATCTTTTTTTATCCCGGACTTTGGCATGATGACAAAATGTGACCTGGAGCTGCGGTCGTGGTTACATGGCCACCCATTAATTTTGCGCTGATGACCATCCTTTTGACCCTCTACCTGATTCTGTTCTTGGGATTTTGGAGTAAACCTAAAAAACACAAGTCAAAGGTAAGGGAAAACAAGTCCGTCATCGTCGCTTGCTTGCTGAGCTTCTCGTGGGGCCATTTTTCGTCACATTGTGGAGATCAGCGTCCACTTCGGGCGTTTCTTTAGCCTGGCTGCAGCTAAAATGTGTCCTTTGTAGAGAGCGTTAATGTGGAAATGGCTCCAGATGACTGAGTATGGAAGTATGTTGAGGCACTAGGTCTACTGAAGTAGGTCATATCGGCTTTTCATGCAGCTTAGCGTTAACCCTGCGTTGTTATCTCAAACTGCCCAAAGTCTGCTGGCTTGCAGCCAGGAAAAACACGGGACCTTAGGAGTTAATAATGATTGGACCATTTTATTTACTGAAGCGTTTTTTTTTAGTACGGAGTCCTGAAGATCACATAGTGGTTCATTTTTAATAACAAGTGGCCACAAATTACTATATTGAGGTCACAAGTTTTGAGAAACCTAACTCAGTGTGTTAAATCGTGTCCTCAACTTAGTAATTAGTGGCCTCAGTATATTAATTCCTGACCATGTCACCTTAAGGGCTCCGTCGTTGAGCATTATATGGGGCCCGCCTTGTTATCGCTGCCTTCCTTTAAAGCTACGTGTATTTTCAGTGGTCAGTCTGGACTGTTTAACCCTAAAAATAGCAGTTTTCAGTCATGCAAGTCATTATCTAGTGGTACTGATAATCCTGAGTAATGCTAAGTCTTAAACTCGGACCCACTGCGTTGAGACATGTGGAAGCAAAGTCGTACGTTTAGGCTCTTCTTTAGAGGCTGAAGTCGATGCTTCGGCACGGTGGTGTCTGTTTATCTGTTTATCGTCAAACACTGAATATCGAAAGGGTTTTAAGGGTCGCTGACAGTCCGTATCGCTTCATGAGCGGCTCACATGTTGACGCAGGTCTTTTTTTTCCCCCTCGTCTATACTTTCGGTTTCGAATCCGAGTGGCTGCCATTCCTACTCGCTCACTCACTCGCTCACTCTCTCGCTCGCTCACTCACCCACTCACTCACTCACTCACGAGCGCTGCGTAACGCGTCAGGAACGCCAGTGTGACAGTGTGGCTTTTTCAGCCAAACACGGATCTGGACGCCACGTATTTCTTCTCCTTAAAGGGAGACTCCACCAGAATTCAATGGCTAAGATGCAAACAAAGTCGCTCAGAGTGGTTTAGGAATCCTCAGCACGACGTCTGACACGTTGTTTTATGGTAATTTTGTGATCAACGTTTGGCGTAAAAAGTATTTTTTAACCATTTATTTTCATTTATTCATGGCGGAGGGATACGTGAAGGGTGTTCTAAGGCAGAGTAGTCCCCAAAGGAAACTTGTTTTTGTCAGATTTACCACTGTTTTACCATGAACATTGCATATCGTTGCTGTCCTTAGAAAAAGAAGTATCTCCAAAATAGTGACTTTACAGGAGAAGGCAAAAACACTCTTCCATTACAACGTAAGTTAATGTAGAGATTTTAATCCATGTGATTTTAGAGCATTGCTTTTGGTCCATTAATCATGAAATTTTCACAAAATGTGAAGGACAGCTGGTGTGTTGAAATGATGTAGAAAAATGAAAATGGCCAAAATTGGAGATGGGGTGTGTTTACATGCACTTAATAATCCGATAACTGCAGAAAATCAGATTTTGTCAGTAATCCAATCAATGTTTTTACATGCACTTGAGTAAACAGATAATGGGAAACTCCAGGTCTGCATGAGTCAGGCAGTAATCAGATTTCTGCTTTGCAACCAGCCAATAAACTCACAGAACTGAGTGTAATTAGAAAGTAAACGTAATGCAAACTCAAACTTCATGCCGCAGCTTTTTTTTCACCTCTCCAAAAGTGTTTTGCTGCCATCTAGTGGCATCGCTGCTTGCTTTTATCTGGTACCGCCATCTGTTCTCACGCATACGTAGACTGAGAAATCCGAAAGAAATCTGAGTAAGAGTTCACATGCACTGAGAAATCTGATTACTGAGCTAAAATCCAGCTCTCTTCATCATTTCTTAATCGGATTTCTAGATTGGAGTATGGTGCTTACATGACCATTAGAATTATCAGATAACTGCAGAAATCTGATAATTATTGGATTATTGAGTGCATGGTTTTCTTTGGACAGCGATGATATAAAACTATAGGGGTTCACTGGTGGTTTTGGATAGTAAATAAAATGGCTGTATTTGCACTGTAGTCATTGCAACCTCTGGTTCCTATCACGACCACTGTGAAGAAATCAGAGTCTGCAAGTTTCTCTATAAATGATCTGATCTCTTTCAGGGAACCGCAAGATGTGCTAGTCTCCTCTGGTGCTTTGACAGTAACCTGGAGAACCATTTGAACATCGAGGTTTGGAATTCTTTCTTAATTCTGAGGTATATCACTCTCAAACCATAAGACATTGCATGTACTTGATAAAAGGGGTAGGACAGGTCAGTCTCGCATGCCACACATTTTAAAAAGATGGTTCTTCAAGGGTTCTTAGGAATGACAGTGCTTCTATGTAGAACCATGAACACTCAGAGAACCATCTGCATGTTCCTTGCATGGTGAAATTGATCTTCAGATTGATGAAGAATGTGTTGTATATGGTTCTACAAAGGTTCTCGTATTGTTATGATGTCAAGCTTGTGACAGTAGAAGAACGCTTTTTGGTACTATGTTGGACCATTCTTCATCAATCTGAAGAACCATATTACGATTTAGGCATGCAAATGGTTCTTTGAGTGTTCATGGTTCTATATAGAACCATTGTGTTTAGGAAAGAACCCCTGAAGAACCATCTTTGTTAAAGAGTGCAGAGAACATGTAGTGTCCATATTTTTTGCTTCATAAAGGATTGTTTTTGTGCTGGAACTTTTACTGCAGGCTGCTTCTTTGGGTATGAAAAACACAGCTGCAGTCACATGTCCTGATCATATTACGTGTATTTAGCTGCCATGTTGTTTTGCTGGACAGCTCAGTAGGTCGAGTAAGGACAGTCAGTGTGGGAGGACCCCAGCTGTCCTCCATGCAAACCAGAATTTGAGATGGAGGAATGTACCATGCACCTTCTCCGAGATCATTGTTTTCCAGGAAGCATGCTCCCCAGCACATTTAAGTCTTTTCTCTGCTTTATCACATCTGCTTAAGCTCTGTCTTCAGCTCAGTAAGGTGTTGTTAATGATTTGATTAGATGAATCAGGAATGTTGGGAGCAGGGAAAACACTAAAATGTTCAGGGCAGTGTGCCACCAGGACCAGGATTGGGAAAAACAGTCCTTGAATGAAATAACAAATGTAACGTCACTTCTTCTCCCTCTTTTTAGAGCTTAGATGTATTTTAATGGAACAATTCAGAGTACAAAGTCCTTTTCAAGCTGTTTGTTTCAATGGACTGAGTGTCTGATTCATGTTTGAGGAGGATGGATGTGAATAGCACTGGGTTTACAGAAATATTATTTCTTGTTTCTTCCACTTAGACTGTGAATTATTTAAGGCATGCCTGATTAAAAAGGGATGGTATGTGGCACAAAACCAACGTTTATGTTTTACAGGGCACCCGTATTTAGATATTGCAAGAGTGATGTCTAGAGATGCACTGATATGGGAGTTGAGCCAGTGCCAGTATCTGATATTTTTCATGTACATATCTGACAATACTGATACTAAACATTTATAAAGTGTAGAAATCGAAACTAGATACACCTGGATTAGCATTGTGGAGAAATAAAACAGGTTTCATCTCGTAACGTGAATAAAATGCAGGCATATTAACTCAGTAACCGTCAACATCACTTAAATATTCTTCTTTTCCAGAGAGCAATAAATACATCATCAAATAACGGTTAGAAATGACAGGCAAATCATAACATCCATCTAATGCCGATTTTTTTCAAAACATCTCCCAAAACCGATATGCAGCGTCACCGGTAAGGGAGAAAAAGGGAAAGCTTTCAGGGGTCTAGCCACTAGGGGGGCCTAAGTGTCTGGGTGTTTTGTCCAGAAAGTATGACGGTGTAAGAAAAGTTTTTTCCTAAGTGTTCAATACTGTTCAAAGAAAGGATGTTGTTCAACATTGCTGATACTATGGAATAAAAAGGCTTTCCCCGCCTCTGAAGCCATCCCAGTTTAACCTCTGTGTAAAACCCTATGTGCATATCAAAAACTAGTTTTTAAAAAGTTAATTTAAGCATTAGGAGATCATGAGTTCAATCCCTGGTGATGCCACAGCCATCTGTGACCGGAAGTCCTGACAACACCTTCATCCTCGCTCTCTCTCTCTGGGTGGGTGGGATGGCCCTTCTCGTCCCCTATCACTCAGCACAGTGCTAGCCAGTGCAGACTGACTTAACAGAATTGGTAGTTAGTGTTCTCCTCCAAGCATGTTGAGCTGTCCAGTGACACTGTGTTAGCAGCGGTTTGAAAAGAAGTATTTAAGTTTTTTAGTGCACTTATACTTCTCTTGAAGTGATAACTAATTTTGACAGGTCATGATTTCCTAGATAACGATGTAGATGAACTCTTCCTTGACTCAGTAACCACACTCTAAAGAAGGCTTACAAGATCAACAGTGTCATTGTTTTGACTAGGTTTATTTTCTTAGTGAGTGAATTAAATATAGCACATGTCCTGCTTTGGTTATGGGCCTAGACTGCACAATGTATCAGGAAGTGTCTTGTAGTGGCTCTAGCTAGAAACCACTAGCATGCTGCTTGCGAACAACTACAAGCAGCTAAAAGTGGACTTGTGTAAAGTTGTGCAGCTAATACAAAGAAATACATGTAAACTCTAAATTCTTATGATCTAAAGACTTTGTAAACATTTTTAAAACATCACTAGGCCTGTCACAAGGATTAATTTGTAGCTGATGATTAAAACAGCTGAAACTCAAATAAACAGACATTAAACAAACCTATAAAGGTGTTATTAACAAATCAAATGAGCAAAGGTTACTCACCCCACCCTCTAAGGATGATATTAAGCATCAAATAAACAAACATTATTCAACATTGTCCTCTTAAGGTGATATTAGACATCAAACATAGAAATATAACCATCCCCCTCTATAGGTGATATTAAATATCAAAAAAATAGACATTACTCACTGTCGCCCTCTAAAGGTAATATTAAACATCAAATAAACAAACATTACTCACCGTCGCCCTCTGAAGATTATATTAAACATCAAATAAACAAACATTACTCACCATCGGGGCTAGTTTAATAATTTTGCTTTCAGCCTTTGGCAGCTGGCTCAGTGATTACACCCATGATCTGTATCTAATTATCACTATTCCAGTCTTTCACCACTCCTTCATTGTCTCTACTAAATTACCACATCATTCTACTATAAACACCACTATTTCAAATCTGCAGATATGGATTTATGGCTTTAGGAATTGGCCACTGGAGCTTTCAAAGCAGTTTGAGCAAGGGTGTTGAAACTGCTAAGTCAAATGCCTAAGGCTTAGCTCTAAGGCCCAAAATCCTTATATTTTGGCTTAATTCGACATTAATGCAGCTTTTGATAGCGTTGACCACAAGATTCTAATCCACCATCTTGAATACTGGGTTGGCCTCTCAGGCACAGTTTTAAAATGTTTTATATAGACAAGAATAGACAGTTCTTGGTTCATCAAAAAAACGTAACATTTCTTGTGGAGTCCCACAAGGTTCAGTTTTAGGGCCTTTGCTTTTCTCTTTGTACATGTTACCTCTAGGTGATGTCATTAGCTGTGTGTCAGATATTTCTCAGTGATTGTCACAAAATTTCCCACAGCTGAATTAAGAAGGAACTGAAATACTGATCCGTGGTACTAAAATTCAGAGAAAGCTCCTTTGTGAGAAGCTAGGCTCTTTTGCTTTGTATACAAAACATGAAGTAAGGATGTGATCTTAGAATCTTAGAATCCCGCGTGTGAAAGTAGTCACTGAAGTAGCTTTTTATCATTTGAGAAACATTTTCTATCCCAGAGCGACGCAGAGAAACTTGTTCATGCATTTGTTAGAAGCAGAATTAATTACTGTAATGCTCTTCTTTCTGGGCCTCCTAAGAAAACAATTCACGCTCTACAACTCATACAGAATGCAGCTGCGCTGATCCTAAGAAAATCAAAACAGTGTTCAGAACAGCCCTGTGTGGATAGAATTGCACTGACTATATCTTTACGGATACATTTTAAAGTTCTGCTACTAGTTTTATGCCCTGCGATGGACTGGCGACCTGTCCAGGGTGTATTCTGCCTTCCGCCCAGTGACAGCTAGGATAGGCTCCAGCACCCCACCGCAACCCAGAAGGATAAGCGGTTTAGATGATGTGTGTGTGTGTTACTAGTTTTAAGGTTCTAAATAACCTTAAAGCACCCGCTTACATCACAGAATGTCTGTCTGTTTATGTTCCAGCATAAAACAGGTGCTCTATGATCTTAGATAAAATAAAAATAAAATACAGAAAGTGTGGAGAGGCCTTTTTCTGTTATTATGCTTCTGGTCTCTCGGTGGGTCTCTGGTTTCCCCATTGTGGATTAAACCTAATGTTAGACCAAATTGCAGTGCTAATGGAGAATTACCATCAGAAGTTTTTTTAGTCTTGACTTAACAGGCTTAATCCAAGTCTGGGAAACTGACCTGTAGAGTTAGAAAGAGAATTCAAAATCCTTCATCGACACCTTATAGATTCCTCCTTCTTCTCAGCTGATGTCAGTATGTTGGAATACAGACTCATAATCAAATGCACTGTGCCACAGTTGTACTGGCCCCGCCCAACAAAACTCACTCCTCATTTGCGTAAAGTCAATAAAAGTTAAACTCTTGATCACTCTGTTCTCCCACTTTGCGCCACTTGCACTCCTACAATCCTCCATCCACAATTGCTGCCTCTTTCCCTGTAAATGAATGGGAGGTGAAACAAAATCACTTCGCTCTGCAGTGTTAGTGCTCATTTGACTATTATAATATCTTTAATTGAGCTGAAACCTCTTTGCCCACCCAGAGACACACTCTTTTCAGGAATTGAGCTTCTGTCTGGTTCCGAGAAAAACTCATTACTGCATCAATAATGGAAAAGTATCTGAGTGTTCCAGCTGAATGTTCTTGGCTGCTTATTCTTGCTCTAAGGGTTTTATGACATACAGTACGTCAAACAGAAGGTTGCCAGCATATATAAAAGACTCGCTGTCCTCACCTTATGTAAACAAAAATGTATGATTCATGGAGCCCGCAACCATTCTTGAAATTATTCAAGATGATCTCTAAGGCTGGTAAACATATGACTAACCATCTGCCCGATGACCTACCCACCCTAACCAATCCTGTCTAGCCTGTCCGACATCCCGGCATTGTTTCTGATGATTGTAAAAAAAAACACCTCATCACTTTTTAGTTTCTTTCTGCCC